CAAAAAAAAAAAAAAAAAAGAAAAGAAAAAACTCATCCATTGACTTGTTCGGTAAAGGCTATTAAATTCCCATATTACTCAGTCTCTTCATTGTTTGACACTTCCCTCTTTCTCCAGAGTCCTAGAGGGGTAGTTGCTTATTCTCCCATAGGTTCTGCATCCTCTGAAAAGAAGGGGTGTGTGCTATCTATTGTGTACTGTTTATTGCCTCTTCAAAATCTTTTTTTTTTTTTTTTTTTGAGACAGAGTCTCATTCTGTTGCCCAGGCTAGACTGCAGTGGTACGATCTTGGCTCACTGCAGCTTGCGTCTCCTGGGTTCAAGCAATTCTCCTGCCTCAGCTGCCCAAGTAGCTGGGATTACAGGTGTGCACCACCATACCTGGCTAATTTTTGTCTTTTTAGTAGAGGCAGCGTTTCACCAGGTTGACCAGCTGGTCTCGAACTCCTGACATCAAGTGATCCACCCACCTCAGCCTTCCAAAGTGCTGGGATTACAGGTGTGAGCCACCTGCGCTTGGCCCCTCTTCCAAATCATCCCCTGCTCTTATAAAAACAAAATATATTCTCCCTATTTTTTTTGAGGATCCAATTCAGCTCTTCTTCCCTTTCTAATGACCATTTACTAACCTCCTACTTATTCCATCTCATTCACAAGACTGACATATGGCTCACAGTCTTCCCTATCTATCCCAATTACTGCCATTATCCTTGTTGACTTCAATACACATATGAATAATCCAACCAAAATTCCTTTTCTTTCCAGTTTCTAGACCTTTTTAGCTTGTGGAACCTTCTGTTCCCACTCCCATTATCCTGCTCTGGACCTTGTTATGGGGTTCCTCCATATCCAACTTAGGTTCCATGATCCATCATTCTATAATCCTTTGGCCATACCCTAAGCTCCTTTGCCCATTTTAATGTTTAGTTTTTATAAAAATATTTCTTAATTATTTATTTTTATAATTTATTCATGTGTAGTAGATATATTCAAGGACAAAAGTCTTGAATTTGTCTGTGACTTTTAGCAGAATATCAAACCCATTTACAACTGTATAAGCCAAAATGCTTGCACCTCTTTCCTTCTCAATCTCTCTCTCTTTCTTCTTCCTCCCTCCCCCAATCTCTCTGTCTGCCTCTCTCTTTTCCTTTCACATTCTGCCAGTAAAACCAAACCTGAATGAATTCAGCTGTGTGCTTTCTCTATACCTGCACTCAAAGTCACTGGAAAAAAACCATACAAGAAAGTTTATCTTTAACTTATATTACAAATTTAACATTACTAATTAATGCTTACCAACCCCAAATAAGCATGACAGTAATTCTGCTTTGTTTTTTAAAATCGAATTCTCTTTCCCATTATCCATAAAGACTATTTCAAATTTTCTCAAATCTTTGAATTCCCTATACTTCCCTTGACTCTCATTAGATGATTTTATCTCCTTTCACTGAAATATCAGGTGCTTCCAATGTTAGATTTATAAATCTATATGCATCAGTACACATTCTCTGTTAACTCCTGCCCCTCCTCCTTTTAGGGGTAATGCCTACATCTATGCTCTCAACTCCATCCCCCTCTGCTTACCACTTCTGTCTTGATCCTCTCCCTTGGTACCTGATCTTTACCATAAGCATCTTACCTGTGTAAAAAACAAACAAACTTCTTGCCCTGATTTTCCTTACCTTCACAGCCAAATTCCTAAAAATAGCTATTGACACTTGTCTTAATTTCCTCAGTCCACTCCAGTGGTTCTCAGCCAGAGGTAGTATAGGATCTAAGCCTGCAGCTACTGGGGGCCATCTTTGTTGCCCCACAGAAAAAGTCTGCATGAGTTGGAAGCCAGTAGAGGAAAAAGATGAGCCAAGAGAATAGAGAGAAAAGATAGCTCTCATAACATAGTCTGAATACCTGATTCCGGCCTCACTGGCATTTCAGTTACATGAGCCAATATATTTTCTTTTTGCATAAGCTAGTTTGAGTTGTCTTCACACTGTTTATATGCCAGTGCCCAAAACTGTGTCCAAAACTGTAAATGTGATCTTCAAACCTGGTTCTCTTTCAGGATTCCCTTCCTTAGGTCAAGGTATCTGTATTTTTTTGACCTGACCTGAAGTCAAGGTCTCTGTATTTTTTATTCACGATTATATCTTCAACATCTTGTACACTGTCTGGCACACAGTAGTGACTCAATAAATATCAAAGGAAAGAATGACAAATGAAGATTTAATTTAAGCCTACCTTAACCATGGTGGAAACTGGATGCACTCGCCTAAGATTCTTCAAAATGGATCCTACCAGATCCATCACGGACAGTCCAATAGCCCAAGAGGTATATCCCTTCAGCTTGATAATCTCATAGGCACTACAATTGTAGAAAGTAAGAAAATCAAATTCATAATGTCAACCCAGAGAAAACATAATAGTCTTCAAGCATCCATTTTGAAGTAATCTACATGTGATGCAATTATATTAAAATATTCTCAAAGATTTCTTATAGAATTTATAAATAGGCAACAAAACTTACTATACTGGTCTCATAAAACTTCACTACGTATTTTATTTACTTAATTTTCTTATTGATGAATTTCTTTTTGGAGACAGGGTCCTGCTTCCTTGCCCAGGCTAGAGGGCAGTGGTGTGTGATTATGGCTCACTGCAACCTCCGCCTCCTGGGCTCATGTGATCCTCCCTCCTTAGCTTCCCAAGTAGCTACTTGGGAGTACAGGTGTGAGCCACCATGCATGGCTAATTTTTGTGTTTTGTAGATATGGGGTTTTGCCATGTTGCCCAGGCTGGTCTCAAACTCCTGAGCTCAAGCTATCTGCTTGCCTCGGCTTCCCCAAGTGCTGGTATTACAGGCATGAGCCACCATGCCCAGCCTACTTACTTTAAATAAAAATTAATTCACCCTTCTTTTTATCATAAAGACAGAATACTAGGACATATGTGCCACTCAAGATGAAACTAGTTTTTATTTTTTTATTATTATTTTTGAGACAGAGTTTCACTCTTATTGCCCAGGCTGGAGTACAATAGCACAATCTCAGCTCAATGCAACCTCCATCTCCTGGATTCAAGTGATTCTCCTGCCTTAGCCTCCTGAGTAGCTGGGATTATAGGCATGCGCCACCACATCTGGCCAATTGTGTAATTTTTTTTTTCTTAGTAGAGATGGGGTTTCTCCATGTTAGTCAGGCTGTTCTTGAACTCCCAACCTCAGGTGACCCAACCGCCTCAACCTCCCAAAGTAATGGGATTACAGTTAGCCACCGCGCCCGGCCTAAGTTTTTACTATTTTTTTTGTATTGTTGCTTAAATATGCAAACATAGAAATTAATCACCTTGAAAGTTACCATATAAATTTCCCTGACCATTTAAAATTGTTACTAATGTGCCAATGTAAATTTATATAGTGTAAGCTGTGTGTATATATTTTTCTAGGAATATATCACTAAATCAATAATAAATGAATATGGAAAATATTCATGATACATTTTCAATGGAAAATAGCACAAAACTAAACATTATGCACTTTCTTATCTCTGGCTTGTAAAAAGCAAATTTTTATATAAACTTTAGAGCAGCATCAACCCACCAATTTATGAATAGTGATTATTTTTACATGACAGGTTTACAGGTGAGCCTTCTTTATGCCTTTTTGAATTTTCTTATTTTCTACAATTAATATTTATTATATATTCACATTGCTACAAATAGTGGTCTCAGGTTTAGATTGACAGTCAAAATCATTGGACCAAGGAGCTTCAATTTAGCACTAAGTTTATTTAAGAAAGGATATAGGACAGAAGCATAGACTGCAGCATATCGTTCATATCAGGAGGTCTTACAACTACCCAGTTTTAAAGGTCCAGGAATGCACATGACACACTTGGTTGCCAGAGATAAGGCTGATACATATTTATATATGGACCACCTGAGCACAGGGAGGTTGGGCCTGGACTGTTCCTACAGTAGTGTCCTATGATTTGACTATCAGTCCAAAAGCAGGGCCACTATCAGAGGCCATGCAGTACTTTTAATGACAAAAGTACTTTTGAGCCCTCAATTCTATAAGGCCAAGACTCTGAGGGTAAGTAAAAGGAAAGGGAGGGAGGGAGCCTAGCGCCTGACTGACAGCATACTGTCTATGAGTTGAAGTAAAGAAAGCTCTATAGTAGATAACTGGGGACAAATCTCACCAGTTGAATCTGGATGACAGATTTATCCTCTCAGGTGTTAACAAAATGAATTGAAAAAGAAAAGAAAGTTGAGAATGGCTAAAAACATAATCCTTTAATTGTTATCAACCATCCTGATGAAAATAAAACTGCTGCTGTAAAAGAAAGGGTAAAGGGAGCAAACAGAAGAAATAGTTTTAAGGCTGGTACTTTAAGACAAAAACTGATACACATTGTAAACCAAATGCCCTCTTGGGAATGATGTCCTATTAAATTGTGATGTTATTCCCCTGCAATTGGTGGTTAGACACCAGCCAATCAGAGGCTGTTGTGTAAAAAGAGCTGAGTAGTTTTTAAATAAATATTAGCAGGACCCTGAGGACTATTTATAATTATACATCCTCAGCTAAGTTATTAAGAAGCAAATAATTTAATTTTAGATACTGCAGAATTGAGAGGACCAATAGTGATAAGTACTGACCTGAAACACGTTGGAATATTTAGTATTCAAATCACACAGGACTTCAATGGGAAGTGTGATCTTAATCCTTGTTCCCGGAAAGCAGGTGTCTCAAAAAGGAACTGCCCGAGCGCAGTGGCTCACACCTGTAATCCCAACACTTCGGGGGGCCAAGGTGGGCAGATTGCTTTAGCTCAGGAGTTCAAGACCAGCCTGGGCAACATGGTGAAACCCCATTACTATCAAAAATACAAAAAGTAGCCAGGTATGGTGACATGCATCTGTATTCCCAGCTACTCAGGAGGTTGTGGTGTGAAGATGGCTTGAGCCTGGGAGGCAGAGGTTGCAGAAAGCCAAGATTATGCCACTGCACTCCAGCCTGGGCAACAGAGCCAGACCTTGTCTAAAAAAAAAAAAAAAAAAAACTACCATTCCCTGTGGTACAATTATTAGTGACTAGGTAGATAAAATACCAACACTGTGACATCCCTATGGGGGTGGATGGGCTGCTCCATAACACTTGGAAACCACTATTGGTTAAAATAGGTTCCCCAGTGGGTAGGGGATATGGATGGGCCTCCAGACCAGTTAGATCCCTGCATTTACTGGAGACTGATCTTCAATGGCCCCTATAGCTGAAAATATATGGGGACAAGGGACATTTTTGTTGAGAAGGATAGGAAAATATACTGTAATATTAACACACATTTTGTTTTCTAGGCATTAACCTCTCATCCAAAGCTATTTGGTGAAACAAAGTGTTTGTAGGTTCCCTTAAGAGAATTTAAGAAAATAAAACATACCAATAATCATTACCAAAGTAAAAGATATTTCAGTAAATTGACCTAAAACTTTCTTTTTTTTTTTTTTTTTTTTGAGACGGAGTTTCGCTCTTGTTACCCAGGCTGGAGTGCAATGGCCCGATCTCAGCTCACCGCAACCTCCGCCTCCTGGGTTCAGAAAATTCTCCTGCCTCAGCCTCCTGAGTAACTGGGATTACAGGCACGTGCCACCATGCCCAGCTAATTTTTTGTATTTTTAGTAGAGACGGGGTTTCACCATGTTGACCAGGATGGTCTCGATCTCTTGACCTCGTGATCCACCCGCCTCGGCCTCCCAAAGTGCTGGGATTACAGGCTTGAGCCACCACGCCTGGCAGATCTAAAACTTTCAATTGATGTGATACTTAATGGAAACGGTTTGGCCAAAAATAGAAAGAAATTTGCTTTAGAGATCTAAAAACAGGACAGGCATGGTGGCTTTGGGAAGCCGAGGCAGGCGGATTGCCTGAAGTCAGGAGTTCGAGGCCAGTCTGGCCAACATGGTGAAACCCTGTCTCTACTAAAAATATAAAAATTAGTGTTTGCAGCCGCCGCCAGGCCGCTGTTGCTCTCCAACGCCAGTGCTGCCTCCTGCTCACCGAGCTCCAGTCAAAGGAGAAGTGGGGTAAGTAAGGAAGTCTCTATACATGGCTCGTATAAAGTGGTAAAACACCCAGGAAGAAACTGGCTACAAAAGCCACTGGCAAGAGTGCACCCTCTATTGGAGGGGTGAAGAAGCCTCACTGTTACAGTCCTGGTACTGTGGCACTCCGTGAAATTAGATGTTATCAGAAGTACACTGAACTTCTGATTTGCAAACGTCCCTTCTAGTGTCTGGTATGAGAAATTGCTCTGGACTTTAAAACAGATCTGCGCTTCCAGAGCGCAGCTATCAGTGCTTTGCAGGAGGCAAGTGAGGCCTATCTGATTGGCCTTTTTGAAGACACCAACCTGTGTGCTATCCATGCCAAACATGTAACAATTGTGTCAAAAGACATAGAGCTAGCACACCACATATGTGGAGAACGTGCTTAAGAATCCACTATGAGGGCCGGGCGCGGTGGCTCAAGCCTGTAATCCCAGCACTTTGGGAGGCCGAGGCGGGTGGATCACGAGGTCAAGAGATCGAGACCATCCTGGTCAACATGGTGAAACCCCGTCTCTACTAAAAATACAAAAAATTAGCTGGGCATGGTGGCGCGTGCCTGTAATCCCAGCTACTCAGGAGGCTGAGGCAGGAGAATTGCCTGAACCCAGGAGGCGGAGGTTGCGGTGAGCCGAGATCGCGCCATTGCACTCCAGCCTGGCAACAAGAAAGAAACTCCCTCTCAAAAAAAAAAAAAAAAAAAGAATCCACTATGATGGGAAACATTTCATTCTCAAAAAAAAAAAAAAAAATCTCTTCTTCCTGTTATTGGTAGTTCTGAATGTTAGATATTTTTTTCCATGGGGTCAAAAGGTACCTAAGTATATGATTGTCAGTGGAAAAATAGGGGACAGAAATCAGGTATTGGTAGTTTCTCCATTTTCATTTGTGTGTGAATTTTTAATATAAATGAGGAGACATAAAGCATTAATGCAAGTTAAAATGTTTCAGTGAACAAGCATTGTAATACTGTTTTTTTTCTTTTTTTTTTTTTTTTTTTTTTTTTTTTTTTGAGACGGAGTTTCACTCATGTTACCCAGGCTGGGGTGCAATGGCGCGATCTCGGCTCACCACAACCTCCGCCTCCTGGGTTCAGGCAATTCTCCTGCCTCAGCCTCCTGAGTAGCTGGGATTACAGGCACGCACCACCATGCCCAGCTAATTTTTTGTAGTTTTAGTAGAGACGGGGTTTCACCATGTTGACCAGGATGGTCTCGATCTCTTGACCTTGTGATCCACCCGCCTCGGCCTCCCAAAGTGCTGGGATTACAGGCGTGAGCCACCACGCCCGGCCCTGTTTTTTTTCTTTAGATGGAGTTCCCTTCTGTCACCCAGGCTGGAGTGCAGTGGCACGATCTCGGCTCACAGCAACCCCCACCCCCCAGGTTCAAGTGATGCCTCAGCCTCCCGAATAGCTGGGATTATAGGTGCCTGCTACCAACCCTGGCTAACTTTTGTATTTTTAGTAGAGATAGGGTTTCACCATGTTGGCAGGCTGGTCTTGAACTCCTGACCTTAAGTGATCTACCCACCTCAGCCTCCCAAAGTGCTGAGATTACAGGCATGAGCCACCACACCCGGCTGCACTGAAATACCTTCTAAAGGGCTGGGCTTGATGGCTCACGCCTGAAATCCCAGCGGTTTGGGAGGCTGAGGCAGGGGGATCACAAGGTCAAGAGATTGAGACCATCCTGGTCAACATGGTGAAACCCCGTCTTTACTAAAAATACAAAAATTAGCTGGGTGTGGTGGCATGCACCTGTAGTCCCAGCTACTTGGGAGGCTGAGGCAGGAGAATCACTTGAATCCAGGAGGCAGAGGTTGCAATGAGCCAAGATCGTGCCACTGCAATCCAGCCTGGTGACTGAGTGAGACACTGTCACAAAAAAAAAAAAAAAATATCTTCTAAAGAAGATATTGGTATGCTATACTGTGTTTTCTTCTTGGTATCCTTTCACCATGCTAGATAAACTTAATGTTAGGTGAAAATCTATTATGTCCTGTGAGTTGAACCGTCTGAATTTCAGACAATTAGTGGCTATATACTTTTAATTTTGTTGTTGTTTGGTTTTTTGTTTTTGTTTTTTAAGAGACAAGGTCTCACTCTGTTGCCCAGGTTGAAATTCAGTGGCACTATCATTGCTCACTGCAACCTTGCATTCTGGGCTAAAGTAAGCCTCCCATCTCAACCTCCCAGGTAGCTAAGACTACCGGTATGCAACACCACATCTAGCTAATTTTTTTAATTTTTGTTTTTGTTGTTGTGGGTTAACAATTTTTTTTTTTTTTTTTAGAGACAGGATCTTGCTCTGCTCTCCAGGCTGGAGTGCAGTGGTGTGATCATATCTCTGTGAGTTCAAGTTAAGCCTAAAACTCCTGGGCTCAAGTGATCTTCCTGACGCAGTAGCTGGGACTACAGGCATACCACTATGCCTGGCTAATTTTTAAAATTTATTTGTGGATACATGATCTCACTCTGTTGCCCCTGCTGATCTGAAACTCCTGGCCTCAAATAGTCCTTCTACCTCAGCCTCCCAAAGTGTTGGGATTACAGGTGTGAGCCACTGCACCCAGCCTTAACTCCTTTTTTAACTGTGGTAAAATTTGTCATCTTAACCATTTTTCTTTCCTTTTTTTTTCTTTTTTTACACCGTTTACCAACTGTTTACATTTTTGAAGTATACAGTTCAGTGGCATTAAGTACATTAACACTGCTGTGCAGTCATTACCATTATCCTCTCGCAAATATTTTCATCTTCCCAAACTGAAACTCTGTACTCATAAATGTTACCATGTTACTTTTTATAATAAATATATATATATATATAAACTTTTTTTTCCACTGCAACAGTCTACCCAAATGATATATATAAACTTTTAAAGCTAAAAGCCACTTAAGAGAATCAAAACTCACCCATAATCACTTTTTTGTTATGTGACTTTTTAGTCTCTGCTCTAATTCTTACACATTTTGGTTTATTATTATTTTATTTTATTTCTGAGACAGAGTCTTGCTCTATTGCCCAGGTTGGAGTGCAGTGGCATGATCTCAGCTCACTGCAACCTCTGCCTCCTGGGTTCAAGCAATTCTCCTGCCTCAGCCTTCCAAGTAACTAGGATTACAGGCACACACCTCCATACCTGGCTAATTTTTTTTTTTTTTTTTTTTTTTTTTTTTTTTTTTTAGTAGAGACAGGGTTTTATCATGTTGGCTGGGCTGGTCTCGAACTCCTGACCTCAGGTGATCTACCTGTTGTGGCCTCACTAAGTGTTGGGATTACAGGCATGAGCTACCACACCCAGCCTCTTACACATTTTTGTAGGATTGTTATCGTTAGTATAAATATAGTAGACTTGTGGTTTTTGTAAATTTAATATCCAATCTGTGAACATCCAAAAGTGATTTTTAAGTTTTTTTTTTGTTTTTTTTTTTTTTGAGATGGAGTTTCACTCTTGTCACCCCAGCTGGAGTGCAATGGCGCAATCTCAGCTCACTGCATCCTCTGCCTCCCAGGTTCAAGCAATTCTCCTGGCTCAGCCTCCCAAGTAGCTGGGATTACAGGTGCCTGTCACCACACCCAGCTAATTTTTGTATTTTTAGTAGAGATGGGGTTCTACCATGTTGACCAGTCTGGTCTCGAACTCCTGACCTCAGGTGATCCACTCACCGTGGCCTCCCAAAGTGCTGGTATTACTGGCGTGTGCCACCATGCCTGGCCAATTTTTAAGTTCTATAACTTCTACTAATATGTAACTTGGCTAAAGCTGGAAGGATAATCCTGCATGCTGTTTAGACTAATATATATATATTTTGAAAGAGACTAATATATATGGAGTCAGATGCTTCATTTATAAGAAAACCATAATGATTTCTGAACATCTGCATTAGCTTAATGTTTCATGAAGTCAAATGATGAACATTTAATAAGTTCTTGGCATGGTTCTAGTATTTTACATGTAGTATTAACTTTTTTACTCTTTATAATAGCTCTATAAAGTAGGTTCTATAATTATCCCCATTTTGAAGATGAGTAAACAACTTTTGATATTTTAGGTAATTTCCCAATATCATCTCACTAATAAATGATGAAGCAGGTTTCAAATCTGGACAACCTGGCTCCAAAGTCCATGCTCATAATCACTATGGTTTTATTATCCTCAAATACATGAGTTGCAAAAGAACAAGTACTTACTCTTTTAGAAAAATGCCCCCAAGGGCCGGGCGCGGTGGCTCAAGCCTGTAATCCCAGCACTTTGGGAGGCCGAGGCGGGTGGATCACGAGGTCAAGAGATCGAGACCATCCTGGTCAACATGGTGAAACCCTGTCTCTACTAAAACTAAAAAAAATTAGCTGGGCATGGTGGCGCATGCCTGTAATCCCAGCGACTCAGGAGGCTGAGGCAGGAGAATTGCCTGAACCCAGGAGGCGGAGGTTGTGGTGAGCCGAGATCACGCCATTGCACTCCAACCTGGGTAACGAGAGCGAAACTCTGTCTCAAAAAAAAAAAAAAAAAGAAAAATGCCCCCAAAAAGAAAGCTATGTATAAGTCTGCATTTAGTGATTTCCAGAAGCCTAGAGTTATTTATCTCACAAAAAGCAAAGATCAACTACTTGATTTTTGTCTGTGAAACTTATTCTTAAGACTGATTATTAAGGCATTAAGAGACTTAATAGGTAATATTACCTTTGAATAACTTGTTGATGGATATTTTTCCAGTTTTCCTTGTCTGAATCCGTTCCTAATTTAGGGTCCAGGGTCTTCAGAGCAACACCAGCAACATTCACCCCACTCCATAAGGGCACTAAAAAATATAGATCTCAAAATAAACTCTTCTTCCCAATATTGCAACAGGAGTTTGAGCTCAGTGTTGTTTTTTTAAGTTAGGCTGCCACCTGATATGGTTCAGATGTTTGTCCCTTTCAAATCTCATGTTGAAATTGTAACCCCTAGGGTTGGAAGTGGGAAGTGTGTGATCATGGGCGCAGATCCCTCATGAATAGCTTAGCATCATCCCCCTGTTTATGAGTGAGTTTTCACTCTGAGTTCATATAAGATCTGGTTGTTTAAAATTGTATGGCACCTCCTCTCTCTTGTTACCGCCCTCACCATGTGACACATCTACTCCCCCTTTGCCTTCTGCTATGATTGTAAACTTCCTGAGGCCCTCATCAAGAGCATATGTTGGAGCTATGCCTGTACAACCTGCAGAAGCACAAGCTAAATTAAACTTCTTTTCTTGGTCGGGTGCAGAGACTCATGCCTGTAATCCCAGCACTTTGGGAGGCTGAGGCGGGTGGATCACGAGATCAAGAGACAGAGACCATCCTGGCCAATATGGTGAAACCCCATCTCTACTAAAACTACAAAAAAAAAATTAGCTGGGCATGGTGGCGCATGCCTGTAGTCCCACCTACCCAGGAGGCTGAAGCAGAAGAATCACTTGAACCCAGGAGGCAGAGGTTGCAGTGAGCTGAGATTGAGCCACTGCACTCCAGCCTGGTGACAGAGCAAGACTCCAAAAAAAAAAAAAAAAACCCCACAAAACCTCTTTTCTTTATAAATTACTCAGCCTCAGGTATTTCTTTTCTTTCTTTTTTTTTTTTTTTTTTTTCACCCAAGCTGGAGTATAGTGGCTTGATCTCAGCTCCCTGTGACCTCTGCCTCCCAGGTTCAAGTGATTCTTCTGTTTCAGCTTGCTGAGTAGCTGGCATTACAGGTGTATGCCAATACACCCAGCTACTTTTTTTGTATTTTTTTTTTTTTTTTTGAGACGGAGTTTCACTCATGTTACCCAGGCTGGAGTGCAATGGCGCGATCTCGGCTCACCGCAACCTCCGCCTCCTGGGTTCAGGCAATTCTCCTGCCTCAGCCTCCTGAGTAGCTGGGATTACAGGCACGCACCACCATGCCCAGCTAATTTTTGTATTTTTAGTAGAGACGGGGTTTCACCATGTTGACCAGGATGGTCTCGATCTCTTGACCTCGTGATCCACCCGCCTCGGCCTCCCAAAGTGCTGGGATTACAGGCTTGAGCCACCGCGCCCGGCCTTACTTTTTTTGTATTTTTAGTAGAAACAGGGTTTCGCTATATTGGCCAGGCTGGTCTTAAATTCCCGGTTGGCCTCAAGTAATCGGCACGCCTTGGCCTCCATAAGTGCTGGGATTACAGGCAGGAACCACTACTTTTGGCCAGGTATTTCTCTCTCTCTTTTTTTTTTTTTTTTTTTTGAGATGGAGTTTCACTCTTGTTACCCAGGCTGGAATGCAATGGCGTGATCTCGGCTCACCGTAACCTCCGCCTCCTGGGTTCAAGTAATTCTCCTGCCTCAGCCTCCCGAGTAGCTGGGACTACGGGCATGTGGCACCATGCCCAGCTAATTTTTGTATTTTTAGTAGAGATGGGGTTTCACCATGTTGACCAGGATGGTCTCGATCTCTTGACCTCCTGATCCACCCGACTCGGCCTCCCAAAGTGCTGGGGTTATAGGCGTGAGCCACCACGTCCAGGCTGGCCAGGTATTTCTTTATAGCAACACAAAAATGGCCTAAAACACCACCTTACACCATACATAAAATAGGTTTCAAATGCATAAAAGAGATGTAAGAAATAAAATTATAAAGTTGTTAGAAAATATGTAGTAGAATTTATTTATAATTGTGTGGTATAGGAGGCATTTTTAAGCAACACATATTTTTTAAGCAATATACAAAATGCAACATAAACAAAAAAAGGACTGATAAGATTAAATATTATAAGCAATTAGAGAATATCAAATTAATACCATACTTCTCAACAGGAATAAAGAGCCAAGGAGGAATAACTGTCAATCTGGAATCTCACATCCAGTTAATGTGTCATTCCAGAAAAAGGTGAGACTAAAACAGTCATAGAAACAACACCAACAGTATATAGCTCAGGAAGAAAGAAACTGAATCCAAGGGAAGAAGTTAGATGGAGAAAATAAAGATAAGCAACACAAAACCTGGCAAAATTGGCAAACTGGTACATGAATCAAAACAAGCATTGACTATTGAAACAATAATCATTATAACAAGTTTGGGGGATATAAGCACAGTATGGCTACAGAAAAGGAATTAATAATTACATGTATGACAGAAAGAGAATGGTGTCAACATCATAAAAAAGGGGATCATCAAACTAAAAGCATTCTAAGATCTTTGTATTATTCCAAAGAAGAGTAAATAAATTGATCATCTGAGGTAAAGTATTGATGTTAAAAATTTACAGATAAGCCGGGCGCGGTGGCTCAAGCCTGTAATCCCAGCACTTTGGGAGGCCGAGGCGGGTGGATCACAAGGTCAAGAGATCGAGACCATCCTGGTCAACATGGTGAAACCCCGTCTCTACTAAAGCTACAAAAAATTAGCTGGGCATGGTGGTGTGTGCCTGTAATCCCAGCTACTCAGGAGGCTGAGGCAGGAGAATTGCTTGAACCCAGGAGGCGGAGGTTGCGGTGAGCCGAGATCGCGCCATTGCACTCCAGCCTGGGTAACAAGAGCGAAACTCCGTCTCAAAAAAAAAAAAAAAAAATTTACAGATAACTATTTACAAGTTAAGTGCATAAGCCAAACTATGAGGAAATTAAAGAAAGTACATCCAATGGAAAGCAGAAAAAGAGAAAGGAAACAGAAAAATCATGCTAAATAGAATACTAAATATGTTCAAATTAATATTAATCAGAATATACTGTTTTCTTTTTTTTTTTTTTTTTTTTTTTTAGACAAAGTTTCGCTCTGCTGCCAGGCGCCAGGCTGGAGTGCAGTGGCGCGATCTTGGCTCACTGCAACCTCCGCCTCCTGGGTTCAAGCAATTCTCCTGCCTCAGCCTCCCAAGCAGCTGGGACTACAGGCACGTGCCACCACGCCCAGCTAATTTTTGTATTTTCTAGTAGAGACAGGGTTTCATCATGTTGGCCAGGATGGTCTTGATCTCTTGATCTCGTGATTCGCCCACCACAGCCTCCCAAAGTGCTGGGATTACAGGCGTGAGCCACCGCACCCAGCCACAATGTACTGTCTTCTAAAAATAAAATTATAGAGGCCGGGCGCGGTGGCTCAAGCCTGTAATCCCAGCACTTTGGGAGGCCGAGGCGGGTGGATCACGAGGTCAAGAGATCGAGACCATCCTGGTCAACATAGTGAAACCCCGTCTCTACTAAAAATACAAAAAATCAGCTGGGCATGGTGGCGCATGCCTGTAACCCCAGCTACTCAGGAGGCTGAGGCAGGAGAATTGCCTGAACCCAGGAGGCGGAGGTTGTGGTGAGCCGGGATCACGCCATTGCACTCCAGCCTGGGTAACAAGAGCGAAACTTCGTCTCAAATAAATAAATAAATAAAATAAATAAAATTATAGAATATTAAATGTGAGAAATTAAAATATACCTGAGAAAATTAGTTTTAATGACCTTCAGGAAGAGTAACTTTGTTAGGACAATAACACAAGACAACAGTGTCAAAGTAAGCCCCTGGTTAAAGAAATATTTATCCAAATCAAATAAATGTATTTGTTATATTATGGCTCTTGGCATATAAAGAAAAGGGCACTTTAGGCCGGGCGCGGTGGCTCAAGCCTGTAATCCCAGCACTTTGGGAGGCCAAGGCGGGTGGATCACGAGGTCAAGAGATCGAGACCATCCTGGTCAACATGGTGAAACCCCGTCTCTACTAAAAATACAAAAAATTAGCTGGGCATGGTGGCGCGTGCCTGTAATCCCAGCTACTCAGGAGGCTGAGGCAGGAGAATTGCCTGAACCCAGGAGGCGGAGGTTGTGGCGAGCCGGGATCACGCCATTGCACTCCAGCCTGGGTAACATGAGTGAAACTCCGTCTCAAAAAAAAAAAAAAAAGACGAAAAAGGCACTTTAAATGTTTTGAATAAATGAATGAATGTTTGAATAAATGGTCTTTATTCTCAATGGGTTCATTGCCATTATGGAAAGAAGATTTACATACATGACACAATTAAAGAACACTGTAAAAAGTATAAAGTTCTAACCCTATAGCAGAGATCAAATGTTTAAATTCAGTAAAGACAGGTTGGTATGGCCTGAATAGTTAAAACCATGTATTGTTTCAGTTATATGAAAAATTTGGAATAAGTAAATCTACAGAGTGAGAAAGTAGATTAGTGGTTGCCTGGGGCTTGGGTAGGGGAAAAAATGGGGATTTCATTTTGGGCTGATGAAAACAGTCTATATTTAGATTGTGGTGATATTTGTATAACCCTGTGAATATACTAGAAACTCATGAATTGTATATTTTGGTGGTTGAATTTTATGGTATATGTATTATATTGGTCCATTCCAATATTGCTATAAATAAATACCTGAGACTGGGCAACTTATAAAGAAAAGATGTTTAACTGGCTCACAATTCTGCAAGCTGTACAGGAAGCACAATGCTGGCATCTGCTTGTATTCCTGGGAGACCTCAAGAAACTTTCAATCATGGAAGAAGGAGAAGGGGAAGCAGGAGCATCTTACATGGCTACAGCAGAAGGAGGGAGATGGGGGGAAGTGCCACACACTTTTAACCAGATCTCACAGTAACTCACTATTGTAAAAACAGCACCAAGGAGGATGGTGTTAAACCATAAGAACCTGTCTCCATGATCCAACCACCTCCCACCAGGCCCCACTTCCCACATTGGGGATTACAATTCAACATGAGATTTGGGCGGGGACACAGACCCAAACCATATCATAAATCATGTCTTAATAAAGCTGTTTTTAAAAATCATAATAAATAAAAAAGTATTACAAGCCGGGCGTGGTGGCTCACGCCTGTAATCCCAGCACTTTGGGAGGCTGAGGCGGGTGGATCATGAGGTCAAGAGATCGAGACCATCCTGGTCAACATGGTGAAACCCCATCTCTACTAAAAATACAAAAAATTAGCTGGGCATGGTGGCGCGTGCCTGTAGTCCCGGCTGAGGCAGGAGAATTGCCTGAACCCAGGAGGCGGAGGTTGCGGTGAGCCAAGATTGTGCCATTGCACTCCAGCCTGGGTAACAAGAGCGAAACTCCGTCTCAAAAAAAAAAAAAAAAGTATTACAGACAAGAGAAACATTCATTGACTATTAAAACAGCTATATGCTTTATGGACTATTTTATGAAAGATAGATAAATCAATGATGCAAAAGACTGAAAGTAAAGAATAGTAAAAGTTATACCAGGGAAATAACAAAATGAAACTTATATAACTATATTAATATCAGGAAAAAACTTTAAAGAAAATAAGCATTATTAGAGGTAAGGGTAGTCACATAATGCTAATAGATTTCTACTTACCACTAGAATCACCATGTTCTCCAATAATCCAACCATGGCAGCTTGTGGGATGAATACCCAATTTTTCTCCAATTAGATAACGAAAACGGGCAGAGTCTAGATTACAACCACTTCCAATTACACAAGTTGCAGGTAAGCCACTTATCTTCCAGACTACGTATGTCAAAATATCCACTAAGAAGAAAAATTTCATGTTAGAAAAAGATTCATTATAACTTGAAAATTTTTTTTTCCTCAATAGATGAATTGTTCTGGAGTCAAGTACAGATTTACTACAGAGCTCAAAGTGAAGCAAACCACTGGCTGGACGTGGTGGCTCATGCCTGTAATCCCAACACTTTGGGACGCTGAGGCAGGTGGATCACTTCAGGCCAGGAGTTTGAGACCAGCCTGGACATGGTGAAACCCTGTCTCTACCAAAAAATACAAAAATTAGCTGGGCGTGGTGGCACACGCCTGCATTCCCAGCTACTCGGGAGGCTAAGAAGGAATCAGAAAACCAACCTTAATAATAAGACTAAACAAGGCTCATCAACACCCCCAAAAAATCACACTAGTTCACCAGCAATGGATCCAAACCAATAGGAATTCCTGATTTACCTGAAAAAGAACTCAGGAGGTTAGTTATTAAACTAATCAGGAAAAGACCAGAGAAAGGCAAAGCCCAATGCAAGGAAATCAATAAAAAAATAATACAAGAAGTGAAGGGAGAAATGTTCACAGAAATAAATAGCTTAAAGAAAAAAAAAAAAACAGTAAAAAATTCAGGAAACTTTGGACACACTTTTAGAAATGCGAAATGCCCTGGAGTCTCAGCAATAGAATTGAACAAAAAGAAATTCAGAGCTCGAAGACAAGGTCTTCAAATTAACTCAATCCAACAAAGACAAAGAAAAAGAATAGGAAAATATGAACAAAGACTCCAAGAAGTCTGGGATTATGTTAAATGACCAAACCTAAGAATAATCGGTATTCCAGAGGAAGAAGACAATTCTAAAAACTTGGGAAGCATATTTGGTATTTGGGGAGATAACTGAAGAAAACCTCCCAGGCCTTGCTAGAGACCTAGATATGCAAATACAAGAAGGACAAAGAACACCTGGGAAATTCATTGCAAAAGAATATTTGCCTAGGCACATCGTCATCAGGTTACCCAAAGTTAAGACAAAGGAAAGAATCCTAAGAGCTGTGAGACAGAAGCACCAGGTAACCTATAAAGGACAGGCTATCAGATTGGAAAACCTATCAGATTAACAGCTGATTTCTCAGCAGAAACCCTACAACCTGGAAGGGACTGGGGCCCTATCTTCAGCCTCCTCAAACAAAACAATTATCAGCCAGGAGAGTTGTATCCAGTGAACTAAGCATCATGTATGAAGAAAAGATACAGTCATTTTCAGACAAACAAACGCTGAGAGAATTTGCCACTACCAAGCCACCACTACGGAGCTCTAAATCTTGAAACAAATTCTGGAAACATAACAAAACAGAACCTCTTTATTTTTTAATTAATTTATTTACTTTTTTTGAGACAGAGTCTTGCTCTGTTGCCCAGGCTGGGGTGCAATGGCATGATCTCAGCTCACTGAAACCTCTGCTTCCAGGTTCAAGTGATTCTCTTGCCTCAGCCTACTGAGTAGCTGGGACTACAGGTGCCTGCCACCATGCTTGGCTAATTTTTATGTTTTTAATAGAGACAGGGTTTCACTATGTTGGCCAGGCTGGTCTTGAACTCCTGACCTCATGTGATCTGCCCCCCTTGGCCTCCCAAAAGTGCTGGGATTATAGGCATAAACCACCATGCTTGGCCCAGAATCTCTTTAAGCATAAATCACACAGGACCTATAAAATAAAATACAAGTTAAAAGCAAAAACAACAAACAAACAAAACACCAAAGTACGTAAGCAACAAACAGCATGATGAATACAATGGTATCTCCAATTTCAACAGTAATATTGAATGTAAATGGCCTAAATGCTCCACTTAAAAGATACAGAACTGTGGAATGAATAAGAACTCACCAACCAGCGGGACATGGTGGCTTACACCTATAATCCCAACACTTTGAGAGGCCGAGGTGGGCAGATCACCCGAGCTTGGGAGTTCGAGACCAGCCTGACAACATGGAGAAACCCTGTCTCTACTAAAAATACAATATTATCTTGGTGTGGTGGCGCAGACCTGTAATCTCAGCTACTTGGGAGGCTGAGGCAAGAGAATCACTTGAACCCAGGAGGTGGAGGTTGTGGTGAGCCAAGATTGCGTCATTGCACTCCAGTCTGGGCAACAAGAGTGAAACTCTGTCATAAATAAATAAATAAATAAAATAAAATAACATTAAGGAAAAAAAAAAGAACTCACCAACGAACTATCTGCTGTCTTCAGGAGACTCATCTAACATACAAGGACTCAAATAAACTTAAAGGGGTGGAAAGAAAAAGGCATTTCATACAAATGGACACCAAAAACAAGCTGGGGTTTGAAGCTATTCTTTTTTTTTTTTTTTCTGAGACGGAGTTTCACTCATGTTACCCAGGCTGGAGTGCAATGGCACGATCTCGGCTCACCGCAACCTCCGCCTCCTGGGTTCAGGCAATTCTCCTGCCTCAGCCTCCTGAGTAGCTGGGATTACAGGCACGCGCCACCATGCCCAGCTAATTTTTTGTAGTTTTAGTAGAGACGGGGTTTCACCATGTTGACCAGGATGGTCTTGATCTCTTGACCTCGTGATCCACCCGCCTCAGCCTCCCAAAGTGCTGGGATTACAGGCTTGAGCCACCGCGCCTGGCCTGAAGCTATTCTTATATCATAGACAACAAACTTTAAAGCAACATAAGTTAAAAGAGGCAAAGAGGTACATAAAAAGGCCTTGTCCAACAGGAAAATATCACAATCCTAAACATAATATGTACCTAACACTGGAGCTCCCAAATTTATAAAACAATTATTAATAGACCTAAGAAATGAGATAGACAGCAACACAATAATAGTGGGGGACTTCAATACTCCACTGACAGCACTAAACAGATCATCAAGACAGAATATCAACAAAGAAACAGTGGATTTAAACTATACTTTGGAACAAATGGATTTAACAGAGATATACAGAACATTTCATCCAACAACCACAGAATACACATTCTATTCAACAGCACATGGAACTTCCTCCAAAATAGCCCATGCGATAGGCCATAAAATGAGCCTCAATATATTTAAGAAAATTGAAATTATGTCAAGCACTCTCTCAGACAACTGGACCAAAACTGGAAATCAACTCCAAAAGGAACCTTCAAAATCACACAAATACATGGAAAGTAAATAACTTGTTCCTGAATGAGAATTGAGTCAAAAATGAAATCAAGATGGAAATGAAAAATTCTTCAAACTGAATGACAGTAATGGCACAACCTATCAAAACCTCTGGATATAGCTAAGGCAATGGTAAGAGGAAAGTTCATAGCCCTAAATGCCTACATCAAAAAGTCTTAAAGAGCACAAACACACAACCACAGTCACACCTCAAGGAACTAGAGGAACAAGAATAAACCACACCCAAACCCAGCAGAACAAAGGAAATAACCAAGATCAGAGCAGAACTAAATGAAATTGAAACAATAAAAATTACAAAAGAAAAACGAATGCCAGGTGCGATAGGTCACGCCTATAATCCCAGCACTTTGGAAGGCCAAGGCAGGCGGATTACTTGAGATCAGGAGTTCAAGGCCAGCCTGGCTAACATGGTGAAACCTCGTCTTAAAAGAAAAAAAAAAAAAAGAAAGAAAACAAACAAAAAGTTAGTTCTTTGAAAAGATAAATAAAATTGATAGACCATTAGCAAGATTAACCAAGAAAAGAAGAAAGCAGGCCGGGCACGGTGGCTCACGCCTGTAATCCCAGCACTTTGGAAGGCCAAGGTGGGCGTATAACCCGAGGTCAGGAGTTCAAGACCAGCCTGGCCAACATGATGAAACCCCGTGTCTACTAAAAATACAAACATTAGACACAGTGGCAGGTGCCTGTAATCCCAGCTTCTCAGGAGGCTGAGGTGGGAGTATCACTTGAACCCGGGAGGCGGAGATTGCAGTGAGCTGAAATCATGCCATCGCACTCCAGCCTGGGTGAAAGAGCAAAACTTGATCTCAAAAAAACAGAGAGAGAGCAAATCCAAATAATCTCATTAGGAAATAAAATAGGAGATATTACAACTGACACCACTGAAATACAAAGATAATTCAAGGCTGCTATGAACACCTTTATACTCATAAGCTAGAAAACCTAGAAGAGATGGACAAATTCCTGGAAATATACAACGCTCCTAGCTTAAATCAGGAAGAATTAGATACCCTGAACAGAACAATAACAAGAAGTGAGATTGAAACGGTAATTAAAAATTACCAACAAAAAGAAGTTCAGGACCAGATAGATTCACAGCAGAATTCTACCAGACATTCAAAGAAGAATTGGTACTAGCCCTTTTGACACTATTCCACAAGATAGAGAAAGAAGGAACCCTCTCTAAGTCATTCTATAAAGCCATCATCACCCTAACACCAAAACCAGGAAGCGATACAGCCAAAAAAGAAAACTACAGACTGATATCCTTCATGAACATATAAAATCCTTAACAAAATGCTAGCTAACCGAATCCAACAACATGTTAAAAAGATAATCCACCATGATCAAGTGGGTTTCATACCAGGGATGCAGGGATGGTTTAACATACACAAGTCAATAAATGCGATACACCACATAAACAGAATTAAAAACAAAAATCACATGATCATCTCAATAGATGCAGGAAAACCATTCAGCAAAATCCAGCATCCCTTTATGATTAAAACCCTCAGCAAAATCAGCATACAAGGGACATACCTTAATGTAATAAAAGCCATCCATGGACTGGGCATGGTGGCTGACACCTGCAATCCCAGCACTTTGGGAGGCCAAGGCAGGTGGATCACCTGAGGTCAGGAGTTCGAGACCAGCCCGACCAATATGGTGAAACCCTGTCTCTACTAAAAATAGAAAAAATTTAACACACGCCTGTGATCCCAGCTACTTGGGAGGCTGAGACAGGAGAATTGCTTGAACCCAGGAGGCAGAAGGTGCACTGAGCCGAGATCCTGCCACTGTGCTCTAGCCTGGTCAGCAGAGCCAGACTCTGTCTCCAAAAAAAACCAAAAATTAATCTATGGCAAACCCACAGCCAATATAATACTGCCGAATGGGGAAAAGTTGAAAGCATTCCCTCTGAGAACAGGAATAAGACAAGGATGCCCACTATCACCGCTTCTCTTCAACACAGTACTAGAAGTCCCAGCCAGAGCAATCAAACAAGAGAAAGAAATAAAGGGCATCCAAATTGGTAAAGTGGAAGTCAAACTGTTCCTGTTTGCTGTTAATATGATTGTTACCTTGAAAACCCTGGCTGGGCACAGTGGCTCATGCCTGTAATCTTAGTACTTTGAGAGTCCAAGGCAGGCAGATCACCTGAGGTCAGGAATTCGAGACCAGCCTGGTCAACATGGTGTAAACTCATCTTTACTAAAAATACAAATACAAAAATTAGCTGGGTGTGGTGGTATGCTCCTGTAATCTCAGCTACTTCGGAGTCTGAAGCACGAGAATCACTTTAGCCCAGGAGGCAAAGGTTGCCCTGAGCCAAGGTCACACCACTGAACTCCAGCCTGGGAGACAGAGGAAGACTCCATCTCAAAAACAAAAAACAAAAAAACAAAACACACACACACACACAGATATTGGATTGGCTGAAATTTATTTAAGACAGAATCTGGCTCCTGTTGCCCAGGCTGGAATGCCCTGGCGCAATCTCTGCTCACTGCAACCTCCACCTCTGGGGTTCAAGTCATTCTCCTGCCTCAGCCTCCCATGTAGCTGAGATTACAGGTGCCCACCACCATGCCTGGCTAATTTTCTTTTTTTTTTTTTTTTTGAGACGGAGTTTCACTCTTGCTACCCAGGCTGGAGTGCAGTGGCGCGATCTCGGCTCACCACAACCTCCGCCTCCTGGGTTCAGGCAATTCTCCTGCCTCAACCTCCTGAGTAGCTGGGATTACAGGCACGTGCCACCATGCCCAGCTAATGTTTTTTGTATTTTTAGTAGAGACGGGATTTCACCATGTTGACCAGGATGGTCTCGATCTCTTGACCTCATGATCCACCCACCTCGGCCTCCCAAAGTGCTGGGATTACAGGCTTGAGCCATCGCGCCCGCCTGCCTGGCTAATTTTTATATTTTTAGTAGAGACAGGGTTTCACCATGTTGGCCAGGCTGGTCTTGAACTCCTAACCTTAGGTGATCCACCTGCCTTGGCCTCCCAAAGTGCTATGATTACAGGCATGAGCCAACATGCCTGGCCTGGATTGGCTAAAATTTAAAACTGTTTTGTTTTTTTGTTTTTTTTTTTTTGTTTTTGAGACAAGGTCTCATTCTGCCACCCAGGCTAAAGTGCAGTGGCACAACCACAGTTCACTGCAGCCTAGACCTCCCAAGCTTATGTAATCCTTCCTCCTCGCACCCAACTTTTTAATTTGATTTTATGTACAGACAAGGTCTCTCTTTGTTGCCCACACTGGTCTCAAACTCCTGGGCTCAAAGGATCCTCCTGCCTGAGCCTCCCAAAGCGCTAGGATTACAGGCATGAGCCACTATGCCCAGCCTGTTAGGTAATTTCAGATAGAGTTAAACATATACCTACCACATAACCCACCTATGTTACTCCCAGGTATTTACCCAAGAGAAATAAAGACATATGACCACACAAATACTTATACACAAAAGATGTTAGTTTCATTCATAATAGCCAAAGACTGGAAATAATCTCAGTATGTATCAACAGATGAATAGATAAACAACATAGTATTTTAAATGTATAAACAATGGCTGGGTGTGGTGGCTCAAACCTATAATCCCAGCACTTTGGGAAGCCAGGGTGAGCGGACTGCCTGAGCTTAGGAGTTCCAGACCAGCCTGGACAAAATTGTGAAACCCCACTTCTACCCAAAATACAAAAATTAGCTGGGTGTGGTGGTACATGCCTGTGGTCCCAGCTACTGGGCAGGCTGAGGTGGGAGGATCAATTCAGCCTGGTAGGCAGAGGTTGCAGTGAGCCAAGATTACACCACTGCACTCCTACCTGGGTAACAGGGTGAGACCCTGAGACCCCATCTCAAAAAAAAAAAAATGTATAATTAAAATAATACTTTGGCACTAAAAAAGGAACAATATGATACACCCAATCATATGGATGAATCCCAAAATAATAATGCTGGGCAAAAGAAGTCAGGCAGAAAAAATTACATTCACCATGACTCCATTCATATGAAATTCCAGAAAATGGGGCCAGAGTTGTAATGAGAGATGAGTTTCAAAGAGGCACAAGAAAACTTTCAGAGATAAGTGTTTTGTATCTTGATTATGGTGTTAGTTTCATGAGTGATTACATATATCAAAAATTGAATTATATACTTTAAATGAGGGCAATTTATTGTACATAAATGTTACCTCAATAAAGTTGATTCTTTTAAAGGAATGGTGAGGGAAAATCATCTTTATGCAATAAAACAAAAGAAAAGACTTACCTGGATTTGAAACAACAAGAATTTTACAATCAGGACTACAACGTACTATGGGAGGGATGATTGATTTCATGATAGCCACATTACGTTGGACCAGGGCAAGGCGAGTTTCTCCCTCCTGTTGCCTTGCACCTGCTGTGACGATAACTATTTTGGAGTTTGCAGATACACTGTAATCTAAAAAGGAAATAAAATACTATATTTGGATCAAGATTACCATAACCACTGTGCCTTACCTCTTTAAAAGTCTATCATCTGTTCTTAATATTAAAGTATTCATGTACCTTTATGTCTGGCATTTTGGAGATGAACAAACTTTTCTAACCTGTATAACCTGAAGGAAGCCTTGTCACTATCACTTGCCAACTTTCACATAGCTACCTCAAAAATTTTATAACAATAGAAACTAACATCCCCTTTTTCCCACATTCCCATGTGTTATAAAGGCCCAAGGCAATGAAAATCAGCTCTCTGCCTTCTTAGAAACACCAAAATAAGGCCGGGCGTGGTGGATCATGCTTGTAATCCCAGCACTTTGGGAGACTGAGACGAGTGGATCACAGGTCAAAAGATGGAGACCATCCTGGCCAACGTGGTGAAACCACCTCTACTAAAAATACCAAAATTAGCTGGGCATGGTGGCACACACCCTGTAGTCACAGCTACTCAGGAAGCTGAGGCAGGAGAATCGCTTGAACCCGGGAGGCAGAGGCTGCGGTGAGCCAAGATAGCACTACTGCTCTCCAGCCTGGCAATAGTGCAAGACTCTGTTTCAAAAACAAAAAACAAAACAAAAAAAACACCAAAATGAATAAAGGCTTAGAACTCTGAGTGTCTGTTTCAGGAGTCTAAGAGTGAGAATGTATTTACTTCTAATATTGTAAGGAACTGAATTTGAGATCAGAAACAAGTTCTTGACCCACACAAGAAAATAAGCTATCTACTAAAGGCCCAGTTGTTTCACCTGAATACAATCTCAATACTATGTAACACTTACTAACTTATACTGGACTTTTTTTTTCTTTGAGACAGGATCTCACTGTGTTGCCCAGGCTGGAGTGCAGTGGTGCCATCTCAGCTCACTACAACCTCTGCCTCCCGGGTTCAAGTGATTCTCCCACATCAGCATCTGGAGTAGCTGGAACTACAGGCATGCACCATCATGGACAGCTAAATTTTGTATTTTTTGGCAGACATGGGGTTTCACCATATTGGCCAGGCTGGCCTTGAACTCCTGACCTCAAGTGATCTGCCTGCCTCAGCCTCCCAAAGTGCTGGGATTATAGGCATGAGCTACCATACCTGGCCTCATACTGGACTTTTTTAAAAAGCACTACATAGCTGAAAGTTATCTTCCTTATGCATGTAAAAAATTAGTTAAAATATCCTCTATATCTATCTCATCTTGACTTTTTATGTTCTTTTAGAAAATGAAATCTAATAGCCAGGTGTGGTGGCTCATGCCTGTAATTCCAGCACTTTGGGAAGCTGAGGTAGGCGGATCACTTGAGGTCAGGAGTTCGAGACCAGCCTGGACAACATGGGGAAACCACGTCTCTACTAAAAATACATAAATTAGCTGAGCATGGTGGTTGGTACCTGCAATCCCAGCTTCTCGGGGCAGGGTGGGGTGGGGGAGGGTCGGCAGGAGACGAGGCAGGAGAATGGTTTGAATCCAAGAGGTGGAGGTTGCAGTGAGCCCAGATTGTGCCACTGCACTCCAGCCTGTGTGACAGAGTGAGACTCTGTCTCAAAAGAGGGAAAAAAAAGGAAAAGAAAATCTACCTAATTTTTAAGATACTACACCTTCATTTATAGTGATTCTTGTACCTTTCTAATCCAAAAGAGAAGATAACTCATGAAATATGAACACTGTTGTTTTTCCTGGCCCAGCAAAGATTTTGATTAGAAAGGCAAACTTAGAAAGATGGCATTTCTGGATAGGTGCAGCGGTTCACACCTGTAATCCCAGCACTTTGGGAGGCTGAGATGGGTGGGTCACTTGAAGTCAGGAGTTCAACCTAGCCAACAAGGTGAAACCCCATCCCTACTAAAAATACAAAAATTAGCTGGGCGTGATGGCGCATGCCTGTAATCCTAGTTACTCAGGAGGCTAAAGCAGGAGAATCACTTGAACCCAGGAAATGGAGGCTGCAGTGAGGGAAGACTGTGCCACTGCACTCCAGCCTGGTTGACAGAGTGAGACTCCGTCTAAAAAAAATAAATAAATGAATAAAATTTTTAAAAATTATCTTACTAGTTTTATGTATTATTTTTGTGTCAGATTTTCCAGGTGCCCTGATCCTGTTAACATCATCATTTCCTTACCTCTTATTTATCTTTTGTAAATATAACCACAAAGAGACCATAAACTACAATGATCTAGAGCAAAAGCTCTGAGGTCCAAATCCCTGTATTCCCAACTTGTCCACTTACTAGCTGTGTAACCCTGGACAATTACTTTGCCTACCCCTCTAATTCTCAGCTCTTCATCTACGAGATCAAGCTAACAGCATTTTTAAAAATATGGTTCTTAAGAAGATAACTCAGTGAGTTAATATATATTAAGTATTCAACAGTGTGTATTAAATGTTTGATAAATGTTAGCAATTAACATTATTATTACATTAGTCAAGTACTTCTTCAAATACCAATTCCTCTGCTAGGTATCCCTAAGCATTTATCATATCATTCATAAATGATATGTGGTTACATTTTAGAAAGAAAAATAAACAGCAGGTAAGGAAACGACAGCATTAACAGGATCAGGACACCTAGAAAATCTGACATAAAAATAAGACATAAAGCCATCATATCATTCATTATTTATCATATCATTCATAAATACTACTTTCTTCACAGAATTTTTATAGCACTTACTGCCTATAATTATCAAAATGCCCTTATAAGAGCTTATGTTATCTTCCCATGGTAATGTCTTATTTAAACCCCTAACTTAATCATAAGCACCATAATATTAATAATAGGTTCTGATTTCACATTACTCCCTTCTTTCCATAAATTTTTTTTTTTTTTTTTTTTTGGAGACGGAGTTTCACTCTTGTTACCCAGGCTGGAGTGCAATGGCACAATCTCGGCTCACCGCAACCTCCGCCTCCTGGGTTCAGGCAATTCTCCTGCCTCAGCCTCCTGAGCAGCTGGGATTACAGGCACGCGCCACCATGCCCAGCTAATTTTTTGTAGCTTTAGTAGAGACGGGGTTTCACCGTGTTGACCAGGATGGTCTCGATCTCTTGACCTCGTGATCCACCCGCCTCGGCCTCCCAAAGTGCTGGGATTACAGGCTTGAGCCACCGCGCCCGGCCGAAAAAATATATATATATTTTTAAAGACAGGGTTTCACCATGTTGGTCAGGGTGGTCTTGAACTCCTGTCCTCAGGTGATCCACCTGCCTTGGTCTCCCAAAATGCTGTGATTACAGGCTTGAGCCACCACGCCTAGCCTTGAAAAAAATATTTAAAAAATATTAAACAACTCTGCCAAAACCACACAATGAACAGCTAGTTCACATTTGTGCCCTGGAGGGTGAGGTGGGACGACTGCTTGAGCCCAGGAATTCAAGATTTTGAGGTTGTGGTGAGCTACGATCACACCTCTGCACTCTGGCCTAGGCAACAGAGCAAGACCCTGTCTAAAAACAAACAAAAAATGCAAATTTATAGAACATTGTCAACACCTTGGAAGCCCCTGTGTGCCTCTAATAAATAGATTATATCTATCAACCACTCTTGTGGCTGGCAAAAATCACATTACTTTTAAAAACATGTTACTACTTATGCATGTTTAAATTACATATTAACTGTTTTTTTGTTTTGTTTTGAGGTGGAGTCTCACTCTATTATCCAGGCGGGAGCGCAATGGCATGATCTCAGCTCACTGCAACCTCTGCTTCCCAGGCTCAAGCGATTCTCCTGCCTCAGCCTCATGGAGTAGATGGGATTACAGGTGCCTGCCACCACACGCAGCTAATTTTTGTATTTTTAGTAGAGACAGGATTTCGCCATGTTGGCCAGGGTGGTCTCAAACTCCTGACCTCAACCGATCTGCCCACCTTGGCCTCCTATAGTTCTAGGATTACAGGCATGGGCCACCACGCCCAGCATTACATATTAAATTTTATCTGTTTTTGAACAAAGCATGTATTCCCTTAGCTAAATATATCTGAATATTTATCCAGTTAATGTGTGTCCCTATAGTTTCTTCACTTTCACTGCTGTGTAATACTACACTGCATAATTTATATAACTTAGTACTGGGATTCATTGGCTTGCTTACAGTTTGGGGCTAATAGAAAGTAAACAACAATACATTCTTGTGGCAGGCCCAGCTTCATCCTTGTTCTTGAAAGATGTATTTGCTGGGTAGATCCCCGATTGACACTTACTCTTCTCTCAGCACATTAAAAATATCATTTCATTGTACTCCATTGTCTTCTGGTTTCACTGCTGCTACTGTCACCCTCTCTTTCTTCTGTAGGTAACATATCTTCTCTCTGACAATTTTTTCACACTTCTTTTTACCTTTAGTGTTTTCTAATTTCACAAGAATATGTCCAGGTAGGGATTTTATATTTATTCTTCTTGATATTATTTGGCCTCTTAAATCTGTGGGTTGACATTTTTCAGTGGTCTTCAAAAATGCTCAATCATAATCTCTTCAAATGTGATGATTCTATCCTCCATGACTCTCAACCTGTTATATTTTCCACTTTTTGTCTTCTGGGTAATTGCCTTAGATTTGCCACTTCTCTCTTCAAATGTGTCTAATCTATCATTAAATCCATAGAGGTTCCCCCTCCCACAGAGTCCTGCTTTGTTGCCCAGGCTAGAGTATGCAGTGGTGGTGCAGTCTCAGCTCACTGCAACCTCTGCCTCCTGGTTCAAGCAATTGTCTTGCCTCAACCTCCTGAGTAGCTGGGACTACAGGTGTGCACCACCACACACCCGGCTAATTTTTGTATTTTTAGTAGAGATGGGTTTTCACCATGTTGGCCAGGCTGGTCTCTAACTCCTGATCTCAAGCAATCCACCCACCTCAGCTTCCTAAAGTGCTAGGATTACAGGAGTGAGCCACCCCACCTGGCTCCACTGAGTTTTTTTTTTTTTTTTTTTTTGAGACGGAGTTTCGCTCTTGTTACCCAGGCTGGAGTGCAATG